GGCAACGGGGGGGGGGGCTCTTGGGTGACTGAGCTGGGCAGCTGCGCCCCTCTACCCCTCAGAGTCTGGGGGGGCAAGGGAGAGTTCACTTCTCTCGGGTACAAAATGGGGGTTTGGGGGGGTTGAACCCCCAAAAAAGAGACTCCTGGAAATGCCCCCACTCAGAAAACACTTCCAGGATCCAGGCTGGCTTCACCCAGAACTCCTTCAAGAATATTGACCCCCCCCAAGAACTCTCGGGCCCCCCCCCCCCCCCCAAAAAATCCCTGGCCCCTGGGTTTAAGCCCCCCCCTGCTTGAGGGAGACCTACCCCCCCCTCTGAGCCCCCCACTTCGCTGACGCCGAGTGCGAGTCCCCGACACCCTCCCCTTCCATCCACTTTTCCCCGCAGGTCAACTCCTGGAGCGGCTCCTTGGAGATTGGGGTGACCGCCTTGGACCCCAACCACCTGGATTTCCCCAGCAGCGCCACCGGCCTCAAGGGGGGCTCTTGGATCATCTCCGGCTGCTCCGTCCTGCGCGATGGGCGCTCCATCCTGGAGGAGTACGGCCAGGACCTGGACCAGCTGGGCGAAGGCGACCGGGTGGGCATCCAGCGGACGGCCAGCGGGGAGCTGCACCTCTGGGTCAACGGCCAGGACTGCGGCGTGGCAGCCATGGGTATCCCGCCCCGCGTCTGGGCCGTGGTTGACCTCTACGGCAAGTGCACCCAGATCACAGTGGTGCCAGGGAACGTGGAGGAAGCGGAAGAGGGACCCTCCCACGATGAAGGTAAAAAAAAAAGAAACCCTCAAAAAAAAAGATAAAATAATATTACATATATTGACAGCGGCCAGAATAGCCTATGCGCAACTGTGGAAAGAACATATGGTCCCAACGGAAGAATAACTAATTTTACAAAATATAGCAGAGATAAGAATTAGAAAAGATGACTATAAGAAAAACCTCAAAAGAGTGATACGCAATATGTAAACAGATAAATAAGTAACAATAGTAATTACAACTGAAGGAAATATATAGCAATGATATACTGTAGGATAGAATAGAGTAGAATATAGAATAGAATAGAATAGAATAGAATAGAATAGAATAGAATGGAATACCTTTATTGTCATTGTAATTCCACGAATACAATGAAATTTGAAAGCTACTCCAGCACAGTGCTCCAAACACTACATCACAATCTACAGAGTATTTAAAAATTAAAATAAATTTTTTTAAAAAAATACGCACAAATAGTTGACGGAAATGTTTGATCATGTTATATGTTGGTACAAAAGCTGTTGGATAATCAAACTAAGATCTGTACTGGTTGGAAAACAATAAAAATTTATCCAAAAAAAAAAAAAAAGCGGAGAATCGGCAGAGCCGTTGAGGAACCGGACAAGAAAAATAACGCAGCGGGGTTAGGGCCACGCATGAATGGGGTCGTCATTTAGCACCACAGGTGAATGATAAAAGAGTAGGGTAGAAGTGTAAAGAAAGCGCGGGTAATTTTTCTCCAAATCTCCGCATTCAAATGTGGGTGTCAGGGCTCTGACTATACACCCCATTCAAATCATAAGTCTCTCAGAGTTTCCTTCCTTCCTTCTTTATTTTTCTTTCTTTCTTTCCTTCCTTCCTTTTCTTTCTTTCCTTTATTTAGTCGTGGTTACGTGGTGTATGGAGGTGGTGACCCTTTGAGAGCGGGCTGCACATTTCATTTTAATGTGTACCGATTGGTGCATATTCAAAGTGACAATAAAAGTTATTTTAAGTCCGGGAGGGCGGGGTGTCTTCCAACTTGACCGCTGGAAGGCTTGGGGACTTCCAACTCCCGGAGTCCCTCCTCCAGTCGGGTTAGCTCAGGAACCCTGGGAGTTGCACGTCTACCAGTCTTCCACTTGCCAAGTTGGAAAGACCCTTGTTTTTTTAAGTCTTCGTAAGGCCACACCTGGAATCCTGCAACCAATTTTGGTCACCCAGATGTTGGAGACTTGGGAAAAAGTGCAGAGAAGAGCAACTAAGGTGATTAAAGGCCCGGAGACTAAAACATACGAGGAACGATTGCTGGATTTGGGTTTGGCCAGTCTGGAGAAAGAGGATGTATGGGGGATGTGGTAGCAGCCTTCCAGGATTTGAGGGGCTGCCCCTCAAAAGGGTGTGTGTGTGTCAAACTATTCTCCAAAGCCCCTGAATGAAGGATAAGAAGCAACGGATGGAAACTCACGCAGGAGAAAAGCAACTTAGAACTCAGGGGAAACTTCCTAACGCTGAGGACGTTAATTAACCCGCGGAACTGCTTGCCACCAGAACGTGTGGGGGAGTTTCATCCCTGGAGGCTTTTTTTTTTTTTTTTAAGAAGAGACTGGACAGACGTCAGTCTGGAATGGTATGGGGTCTCCTACTTGAGCCGGGGGCTGGTCTAGAAGACCTCCAAGGTCCCTTCCAGCTCTATTCTGATTGATTGATTGATTCAATTCTGGGAGTTGAAGTCTCCCCCCCATCTTAAACACTGGTCTTTAAAGAACTGATGTGGGGGTTTTGGGACCGAAGGAAGGGAAGGGATGGATATTTTGGGGGTCCTGGTTTGGCAAAGGGGCTGCTTTAGATAGTTCTCCCTGGACAGATCTGCGGGACGATTCATCCCCTACGGCTACACCCCTCTCCGGCACTTTGCTGCCTCGAAATCCAGGCAGTCCTCCACTTACAACAGTTTGTTTAGTGACCGGAGTTACAACGGCACTGTGGGGTGGGGGAAGTGACTTTAGGTCCGTTTTTCACACTCGCAGCCTCCCCATATTCGACCACTTGGCCACTGACTCGTTGGTTACGACGGCCGCCGTGTCCCCTGATCCCCTTCGGCGACCTTCTAACGAAGTCAGTCGGGAAGCGGAATTGGCTTCCTAACCACGTCACTCCCTTCACAGTGGCTGTGGTTTGCTTAACGGCCGTGGCCAGAAAGCTCGGAGGGTGGGGCAAAAACTCACTGGAATGACTCCCTCGCTTAGCCAGTCATAAGCCGAGGACTATCCGTGTCAGGTGTTGGCTGGCAAGAGAGGGGAAAGGTCTGCGCGGTCACCCACTTTAAGGGTGGGAACTGACCGTGCCCAGAGAATCTTTCCTGGCCTCCCATACGGAGCCATCTTTTTAAACCTCCTTGCGGGGTTGTCGGCTGGCCCCTCCAGGACCCCCTGAGCTAGGATTCCTGGCTTGTTCCTTTGCAACACGGCCTGTGGTTGCTCTCGGAAGCACCTCTGACATCTTTTCCTTCCTCTTCCTCCTCCTCGTCTTCCTCCTCTTCTCTGTAGCCCTGGAAGCGGCTTGCAACCAGACTCGGCCGGATAAATTTCCTAGTAGCCTGGAATCGGAGAACGGTGAGTCACTGGAAGTAAGGGGGAAAATATGTTACGTTACGTTACATTACATTACATTATATTATATTATATATTGTAATATTAATATATTATATTATATTACATTATATTACGTTATATTATGTTATATTATATTATATATTATATTATTACATACAGTACATACATATAGATATAGATATAAAATAAAAATATAGATATAAAATAAAAATATATGGAAATAAGGGGGGAAATATGTGTGTGTGTGTGTGTGTGTATGAACAGCTTTGAAAGTCTGACTCACAGACCAACCCAATACACGAGCCTGATGATGGCAGATGAGATTCTGCCAAAACGTTGCTACAACTTTAAAAGCACAACTATAATGACGTGGGAAAATACCCGAACAAAGCTGAATACCGTGTGTGTGTGTGTGTGTGTATGTATATGTGTGTATGTATGTATATATATATATATATATATATATATATATACACGTATATGTGTATATGTCTGTATATATACGTATATATACGTATATATGTATATGTATATATATATACACACACACACACACACACATATATGTTTTCTGAGGTTCTCGTGGGTATTTGTACGTGGATCTTTGGTTGTTCGGGTTTTCTCCCGCGTAAGATTCGAAGTATCTAGGCAACTCTAGTCACTGAGAAGCAAGAGCCGAAGACACAAGCCTGAAGATGATGAATGAGACTTCATCGAAACGTTGCCTAGATACTTCGAATCTTACGCGGGAGATTTTTTATATATAAAAAATTTGTAGGTTTCAGCAGCCCACCGGCTGTCTTCCCTTGCAATATGAAGCACTGGTTTCTGCCATCATTTTTACAATTGGTTTTCCCTCCTGCCTTTATTATTCTTATAAATAACTGGAATCAAGGAGAGAAGCAACTTAGAATTAAGGAGAATATCCTGACAGCGAGAACAATTAGCCAGTGGAACCACTTGCCTCCAGAAGTTGTGAATTCTCCCAACACTGGAGGTTTTTAAAAAGATGTTGGATAGCCCTTTGTCTGAAGCGGTGTAAGGTTTCCTACCCGCACAAGGGTTGGGTACAACTCCCCATTCTCCTGGTGATTGGCCCAAAGGCACCAGGCTGGCTTTCACGTCTAAAGCAAGTTTTTGGAGCTAGGACAAACTTGCTTCTCATTTGAATGAACCAGGCCTGGTTGTGGGGGAGGGTGTCTTTGCCCCCATCAGAACCTCCCCCCTTTCTTTACAAAATGGGCAGCCAGGAGACATTGGGGTACCTGGCATCTCAGCCTATGAGGGGGGTACGTCGACCTCCACCCAAAACACAATCCCCCCCCATAGGCTTCTCCAGCACAGAGCTGTCGGAGGTGGTAAGCAATGCCATCCTGTCGGCCTACAACGGGAGCCTCCTCAATGTCAACCTGGGCAGCCCCCCCTCGGACTCCCCGCCCGGGGGCGCGCCCCCCATGACCTCCAACGACGCCCTGCTCTTCCACGAGAAGTGCGGCACCCTGATCAAGCTCAGCAACAACAACAAGACGGCCGAGAGGCGCCGGCCGCTGGACGAGTTCAACAACGGCGTGGTCATGACCAACCGGCCGCTGCGGGACAACGAGATGTTTGAGGTAAACGGGGTGGGTAGCAGCGATGGGATCCGGCCAGTTCGCACCGGTTCGAGAGAAGCGGTTAACTGGCTGAGCCGTTTTGGCGAACGGATTGTTGGAAGAAACCGTGAGGGCAGAGAAGCAACTGATTAAATTATCTGAATCCATTTATTCCTCCTAGGAACATTTCTGAGGTAAAACTAATTTTTAAATCCAACGTTTATTCAAATTTTGTGCCAAAGTTCTTAGTATTTTCTTGCACTCTCACCACACAGAATAGCAAGTGCCCCGTTCTTTCAAACATTTCCAGCATGTAATATATGATTTTTTAAAAAAAAAAAGCAGATACCTCCCTAATTATCCATGTAATTACAACATCAAGATTATTACTTGCCCAAACAAGTCAAAAGAAATGCCAAGTGATGATGCAGTAGTGGAAAAGATTTTTCAGTGCGCTTAGCTAGATATTATGACGTTAGAATTGAAAGAGTGAGATACTCAGAATATTATGAAATATGGGGAAATGTCTGTACGGAGGGATATGAAAGAAAGTCTGTAAAATGTGAATTAGAATTTAAGATGAAATTGAATTGCAAAACAATGATTAGGATTAAAAAAGGATGTAAAGATCAAATGCATATATATATCAAATGCCCATGCATATATATATATATATATATGTATATATGCATATAAATGCTTATACTATTTAATGATTTCGCTTTTATACTAGTGTAAAAACTAATATGTATGTCAAAGACAGACCACCCTGTTCAAGATTTTTTAAAAAGTTTGTTTTTAATAAAAAATTTAAAAAAATATTGGAATCCCACCACTGGATGGGAGGTCCTGAGATCCCCCCTCCCCAAATCTCCAGGCCCCCAGAAAAGGAGCCCTTTGATGAGAGCTATTTTGTCTCAACCTTTTGTGACTTTTTAAGACAAGAAGAAATGTGGCAAAACGATTTTGTATTTTTATTTTTTATTTTAAAAAACTTTATTATAAACAAATTTACAATTAAAAAATATATTACCATTCATTGCAGCATGAATGAGTGAGTTCACTCACTTTGACCTATTCTTAAGTATGTAGAATATTACTAAATATTATTACAATTATTTTACATCTAATTTACATCATATTTTCATATATTTACATATATATGTATTTATACATAAGTATACACAATTATGTCTATTCATGCCAAATTATTTCATCACACCATCACCTTTCATTTCATCTCTCTATTTTGTGTCTACCTTGCAGCCAATTGGATCACAAATTCCAAATTTCGTAGTACATCTCTTCTCTCTCCTTCGTTTATATTGAAAGCCTATCCGTTTCTACACACTCTAAAACCTTTTTTATTATCATAATATTGGAGGGAATGCTGTCACTATTCCAATTCTGGGCAAAGGCGATTCATGCTGCAGTTATTAGATGTAATATAATACATTGGAGTTTCTTACTTATTTTGTCTCTTAATTTACCCAATAGGAATGTCTCTGGTCTCAATTTTTTTTTGTAATTTCCTCCAGCCATCGCCTAATTTTAAACCCAATAATTTTTAGCTTGAGGGCATGTCCACCACATATGGAAATAGGTTCCCTGTTTATAATTTCCAACGATTTATTGGTCTGTTAGGGAACATCTTGTTTTGTTTTTTTTTAAATTGGGTAACTTTCTTCATAGACGGTGGGAATGCGGTAGATGTAATATATCTTGATTTCAACAAAATGAGAAAAGAAATAAACCCTGACAAGCCAAATTATTTTAAAAAAGGGGGTGGGTGGGAGTTCATTGGCATGAGAATTAAATGGGAAACTGATCTGCTGGCTGGGGGATTCTGGGAGTTGAAGTCCACGGGTCTTAAAAGTCAGAGAGGTTGAGGAATATTGCGGTAAGCTGTGTAGAAAATTTGCAGTGCTGATTAAGTAGGACATAATTCTCTCAGCGGGCTCATGGTGGATGTTTAGCAAGGCTGAGGCATCTGGGATTTGTAGTCCGCTCCCTTTGAGCTTCCTATTTATTTTCTCTCACTCCCAGGGAAGACAGACGCTGCTCAAAATTTTGTGTTTTTGATCGATCGTTGTTGGTTTCCCCAAAAATTCCTTCATTTATCTATGTCCTTTATTATTATTTGTACAAACAAGTCCAGGCTGCGAAAGTGTCAGACGCATCCATCTCCTCTTTTCCCAACAACAACGACCCTGTGAGGTGGTTTGGGCTGAGAGAGGGAGACTGGCCTGAATTCACCATCTCCTGGGGATTGGCCCAAAGTCTCCTGGCTGGCTTTTCTAAGGTGAAACTAGAACTCCCCATCTTCTGGTGATTGGCTCATAGTCACACAGCTGGCTTTCCTGCCTAACGTGGGACTAGAACTCCCATTCTCCTGGTGTTTGGCTCATAGTCATCCAGCTGGCTTTCCTGCCTAAGGTGGGACTAGAACTCCCAGGTTCCTGCTGATTGGCCCAAAGTCACCCAGCTGGCTTTCATGCCTAAGGTAGGACTAGAACTCCCATTCTCCTGGTGATTGGCTCATAGTCACCCAGTTGGCTTTCCTGCCTAAGGTGGGACTAGAACTCCCAGGCTTCTGCTGATTGGCCCAAAGTCACCCAGCCAGTTTTCCTTCCTAAGGGGAGTCTAGAACTCCCAGGCTCCTGCTGATTAGTCCAAATTCCACCCAGCTGGCTTTTATGCCTAAGGTGGGACTAGAACTCCCAATCTCCGGATGATTGGCCCAAATTTTCTAAGATGAAACTAGAACTCCCCGTCTCCTGGTGATTGACCCAAATTCCACCCAGCTGGCTTTCATGCCTAAGGCGGGACTAGAACTCACCACCTCTCACTTTCCAGCCTTCGTTCTCAACCGCTAGACCGAACAATTCTCAGTTGAATATAACCAGCGAATTGAGCAAGGCCAGGTAGGGAATTCTAGGAGTTTGAATGCCCGACTCTTAAAACATCGCCCAGATTGAGAGAGAAAAAAAAAACATCCGCCATTTTTAGAGGCCGAGAGAGATTTCGAAGGCAAACCCGGCCGGGGAATTCAAACTGCCGCTTTGTCTCCTCCTCAGATCCGCATCGACAAGCTGGTGGACAAGTGGTCGGGCTCCATCGAGATCGGGGTCACCACCCACAACCCCAACAACCTGGAGTATCCGGCCACCATGACGAACCTGCGCTCAGGTGACTTCCCGACTCGTGCGTATCCACAGGGCAGGGGAGAGCTGGGGGGGGGGTTGTGTGGGCGGGGAAGGGGGGTCTCCGTCGGGGGCGGGGGGGAGAGGACCCCCCGGGGGAGGGGAGTCAAATGAGCCGGCCCTTGTCCCCACTCAGTTCTTCTTGTCATGCCCCACTCAACCCACGAAGGAACCATTATGATGAGCGGCTGCGGGATTCTCACCAACGGGAAAGGTACCCGACGGGAATACTGCGAATTCAGCTTGGATGAGTTGCAGGTGAGCTCAACGCCCCCCTTCTCGTCCTCCTTGCCCACCAGGGGTGGAGGTCGGGGCTCCGGCAGTTACCCCAAATAAATCATGAGCCTCGAGCCGCCCTTCCAAAACTAAAGAGGATATATTCGAAGTTACCGTTCTACGTCTGGGACGAACCTGGGCGTAGCCGTCTCTGAGACACATAATTCACTGACCCCCTTGATCCTGCCTTTCCCCCCCAACAAGCCTCTGGGTGTATCCTCCAACGAAACACGTCCGTAGCCAAGAGTCATCAATCATGTTCTCCGGGTAGATTTTTTTCGAGGCAGAAGCTTCAGCCATCTAATCAGTCTTTGAAGAAATTATGAATGGAACGGACTTTCAATTCCACGCTGCCGCCAGCTCTTTGAAATTCTCCCCCCCACCCCCCCTTCTTTCTGTTGTCAACTATAAAACATGTATACAAAACGTTTCATGAGTTGACAGTGGGCTCCAAATAATTTAGCAACCAGTTCTCTTCCCAGTTGCTGGGTGGGCATGCCGTAGTGGGCATCCTCTCTTTGGCTGCCTGCACCACCCCGGGAGCGAAAACGGAGCCACGGGGAGGGAGGGGGCGTTTTCGCCCTCCCCGGACTCTGGAGACAGGAAACGGGACTATTTCCAACCTTCCGGAACTTCCGGGAGGCCCGTTTTTCTCCCTCCCAGAGCCTCTGCACGGACCCTGCTGTCAACTCATGAAACATTTGCCTGGTCTTTTTAAAGCTGCCAACAGAAAGGGAGGGGGGGGAGCAGTGAGGCAGCTTGGAAACCAAAACTGCATTCCATCAACAGTTTTACAGAGATAGTAACTAGGTGACTGAAGTTCCTGCCATGCAAAGATCTAGCTGGGGAGCATGATTGATGGCTCTGAGCTATGGACCTGTCCCATCGGAGGATATGAATGAGGATACACCCAGGGGGGCGGAAGGGGAGGCCAGGGTCAAGGGTGACAAGGAACGATGTGCCTCAGAATCGGCTGCACCCAAGCAGCGCCAACATGTTAACTCCCCGATAAATCCTTTTTTGGAAGTTTGGCTCGAGACTCGTGATTTAATTGGGAGGGCAACTGCTGGAATCCTGACATCTGCTCATCTTGCGATCTAAAACGAGCCGCATGCGGATTCCCGGGTGGGGCAGGGCTGGCCAGTCGCCGGAACGACCGGTTCACTGAACCAGATGTAAAAAATTTAACAGCCGGTTCTCCCGAACCGTTGTGAACCGGTAGCAGCCGCCCCCCCCACCCCCCCCTTGGAGAAACTTCCCTGCCTGCTTTGTGTCTTCTCACCACAGGAAGGTGACCACATCGGTTTGACCCGGAAATCCAACAGCGCCCTTCACTTCTACATCAACGGCATTGACCAAGGTGGGCACGCTCCTCAGGGATGAGAGCCCCCCCCTCCCCCCGCAAAGCTGGGGCTGGAGAGAGAGAGAGGAGGGGGCAAAAATGGCGATATTTCCCAAATTATGACTGCAACATGTGATGTTTTGGCCCCAAATCTGTGTTTACTTCCAATGTTTGGCGGAAAAAAACCCCCACGGTTTCATTTAACGCAGCCACATCAGCTTAAATATGGCCGCATTTACAGGTGGTCCTCAACGGCAGTCCATTTAGTGGCCGCGGTTGGAACGGCACTGAAAGAAGTGACTTAACGGCCGGTTTTTCCGCACTGAAGAGCCGTCGCAGCCTCCCGACGGACTCAGGGATCAACATTCGGATGCTCAGCAACCAACTCGTATTTATGACGGTTGCAGTGTCCCCGGGGGGGGGGGGGAGTTTTGATTTGCTTAACATCGAGGTTGTTAACAACCGCAGGGGATTCACTTAGTGATTCTGGCGAGGATGGTCGTAAAATTCAGGGAATTGTCTCACTTGAAGGCAGAAATGTCAGGCTCCGGTTTTGTCGTAAGTCAAGGATTGCCTCCCATGTGCCCAGTTCTCTCCTTTTCCATCTGGGGTTGATTTTATTTACTTTGTTTCTATGATTGTAGATTTTAATGTTTCTTAATTCTTTAGTGTTTTTATGATGTAACCTACCCAGAGTCACTGGCTACAAGATGGGTCGCAAATGTCATTAATAATAATAATGATAATAATTTTTTTTTATCCTTGGGATGCAGGCAGTAACCCTTATCAGCCATCAGCGCCAGTCAATGAGATTTTTGATACATTTTTAAATGTTCACGTTTAACGAATAAAAGAGATTGTTATTATTACTACTATTATTATACATACTTTATTTATTCATTAATATTGCAATGTACTTCAAGTAGTTATTATATCTCCTTTATTCATTAAACATGAAACTCAGTCAACTGAACATTTAAAAATGTACCACAATTATCATCGACTGGCTCTGATGGTTGATACGGGTTGCGGCCAGCATCCCAGATATTAACCAATTATTATTATTGTTGTTGTTATTTCCTTTTCCATCTGGCCAGTTTTCAGTTTCTGGGTGTTACCCTAAAAGAGGACCTGACATTGCAACCCTGGTCAAAAGGGCCCAGCAGAGATTTATACTACCTCAGGTTTCTCAGAAAACAACAACTGAATGGAAAACTGCTTGTGACCTTCCACCGCTGCGCCAGAGAGAGTATCTTAACTTCCTGCACCTCTGTCTGGTTTGCCATTCGCACGGGGGCAGATAGGAAAGCATTCCGGGGGGGTTAATGTCATTGCCCAGAGGATCATTGGTTGCCCTCTTCCCTCCTTGGAAGAGTTTTATCGCTCCAGCTGCCTTAAGAAAGTTCAAGACGTTCTCAAAGATTTATCTCATCCTGGGCACCCTTGTTTTGAACTATTATCATCTGGCAGACGGTACAGGAGAATAAAAACAAGGACAGATAGGCTGAAAAAACAGCTTCTGTCCCAGGGGAGGATTTGTGATACGAAACCCAGCATGGTTATCTCGTCTGCTGTGTGTACTGTCATTTTTGTGTACAATAATAATAATATCAACCACCAGAAGCAGTCAGTTTCATGTTTGATGAATAAAAATTTATAATACCGATTGTGCTGTCGCAGCCGGTCTATGGGAATTGGGATAGTTACTTAGGAATTATGAGCTGTCCCCTTAAGGGAATGCATCATGGTAAATGTAGTTAAAGGTATCCTGGGAAATGTAGTTCATGTCACGTGGCCACATCGGTAATCCTGATTGGTCACTAAATTGACCCTCGAGGGGCTGGGGGAGTTTTCCTCACTTTTGCCTGAACTCCCTAACTCACGGCAGCTGCTTTCTATCACTACGAGATGGTTAGGAAATAACCACCTTTTACTACAAGACAGATATGCAAAGGATTGGTCATTAAAGAAGAACTTCGTCACAAATGTGTGTTATGAGGATACATGATGAACCAATAAATGTAATTTGTTATGGACATCTTGTTGAGTTTATCTCTCTGCATCTGTACAGCGTCAAATCCACCTGTGTGCAAAAAAAGGCAGAAAAGATGGTTACCTCCTAACCCATCTCGTAGCGATAGAAAGAAGCTGCCATGAGTTAAAGAGTTCAGGCAAAAACCTCCCCCAACCCTTCGAGGGTCAATTTAGTGGCCAATCAGGATTACAGATGTGGCCACGTGACATGAACTACATTTACCATGATGCATTCCCTTAAGGGGACAGCTCCTAATTCCATAAGTAACTATCCAATTCCCGTAGACTGACCGGGACAGCACAGTGATAATAATAAGACTAATAATATCAACCGCCAGAGCCAGTCAGTTTCGTTTTGTTTGATTAATAAAAGTTTATAATAATGACGATGGGCATCCAGAAATTATCCACGGTAATGAATCGCTCCAAGACAAGTATAATCTCCAATTGATTTATTAGAACATCTCTGGCACGTCTATGGATATTTCCCAAACTCAAGTCGTTTTCAGCGGTTTCACAAAATCCACCTTCTCTCTTCCCACTTCTTACACTTCATTAATCACGAGAACCAATTAACCGCAGCTGGAATTTTTTTTAATGCGACATACGAAATAGCCTGGAACTTTCCAACTCCTCCACCCCCCCCCTTTTTCCTTAACATTTTTGGCAGCTGAATCTCAGAGCTGACAAATAAAATCAACCATCAGGGCCGGTCAGTTTCACGTTTGATGAATAAAGTTTATAATTACAATAATATCAACCACCAGAGGCCGTTTCATGTGTGATGAATATTATAATAATAATAATAATAATAACAATCACTTTAATATTAATACCTACCACCAGAGGCAGTCAGTTTCGTGTTTGATGAATAAAAGTATAATAATAATAATAATAACAATAATAATATCAACCACCAGAGCCAGTCAGTGAGATTTGTGATGCGTTTTTAAATGTTTCATTGGCTGAGCTTCATCTTTGATGATCAAAACAGATGATAATGCAAAAAAGAAAAGAAAAAAGATGGTAACATTAGGTCAGTCGTGTGGGCAACCCACTTTATGACAGGCTGCAGGGTGGTTGTAAGCTGAGGACCCCCTGCAGAATTAACCGCCCTCCTCTCCCAAGCCGGGCCAGGACGCCAAACATAGCAACGGACGTGTCGTTGAGGCGTTGCCCTCTCTTTCTGCAGGCGTCGCCACCACCCTCACCCCCTTGGTGGTCTACGGCGTGGTGGACCTCTACGGCATGGCCGTGAAGGTCACCATCGTGCACAATCACAACCACAGCGACCGGCTTCGGCGCAACAACGCCATCATGAGGGCCCTCTCGCCGGACGTTGGGCGGAGGGCCATCGACGCCGGGGGCAGCGAGCCGGAACCTGAACGCCTCCTCTTCCACCCAAACTGCGGTCAGAAAGCTGCCATCATCAACGAAGGACGGACGGCGCTGCGGCCTCAGTACGTATCTTCCATCGGGATAGAGAGCTGGAAAGGGGACCTTAGAGGTCTTCCAGTCCAGCCGGCTGATCGAGCAGGAGGCCGTTTCAGACAGTCTCTTCTTAACAACTCCCAGGGACGGAGCACCCACAACTTCTAGTAGCAAGCGGTTCCACCGACTAATCGATCTGGGGCGATGGAATAACAGTCTCCGAAGGGACTTTGGAGGCCTTCTAGTCTGACCCCACACTCAAGAAGGAGACCCAATGCCACTGGTCCCCCTGCCCTAAACCATTTTTGACGAAGGTCTCCCCAGCCTCTTCTTAAAAACCTTCCAGTTCTGGAGCCCCCACGCCTTCTGGTGGCAAGGAGTCCCCCTGGTTAATTGTCCTCACTATTAGGAAAATGTCTCCTGAATTCCTTCTCTCCTGGATGAGTTCTCCATCCGTGGTTTCTGGTCTTGTCTCCTGGTGCTTTGGAGAATGGGTGGACCCCCTCTTCTTTGGGGCAGCCCCTCTTCAACCCTTGCGGGGGTGCCAGCCTTGCACCTTTAAAGACTTGTGGACTTCAACTCCCTGAATCCCCCAGCCAGCAAAGAGTTTACCAG